GTGTGTGTGTGTGTGTGTGTGTGTGTGTAGACACATATTATGAAATTATATACAGCAAAGGGGGAGATAAATGGTAAGACTTAAGACCGAGCAATGGTGCCCCCTGAACACCGGCTCATAGGGAGCAGGGGCGGTGCTAGGTTAAGGTCAAAGGCGCCATGATGCCTCCTTCTCTTCTCTCTTTTTGTTTGTAACAATTAGGTTGCTTACTTTGTACCATAACAGATTGTACGACTCCCAGTTTTACTGGAATCATTTCAACACACGTACCACGTTTAGATGCCCTGTCACTTCATCGCATTCTTCTAGAAAACAAAATATAGATCTAGATAGCCCTAGGCCGAATCTGTCCCCTGAGTTGAGCTAGGGAAACCACCTGAGATCATTGAACAACTCACAATCTTTTGTTGACAAGGACTGTGCGAGAGTACCCCCCCCCCAAAAAAAAAAAAAAAAAAAAAAAAATGCAACCCCCCAAAAAAAACAACAACAAAAAAAAAACAAAAAAAAAACAACAAAAAAATAACAACAAACAATCAAGGTCTTTCCTAGTAATCTATTATTTGGATGACACCCGTGACCTAAGGGCTCGATCTCTTGTTCATAATTCTGAACCATAGAATTACAAAGCTCTGTCCGCACAGTACCTAATTTAGAGAAATTTGACTAAAATTTTTGAGTTTCACTACATGTCAAGCTCTTTAAAAATTTAAAATTTTGAATATCTTGGTAACGACTCTAAATAGCTTAACGGTTTTGATAGAGCCTATAGAATAATGGTTTCTGACCTCATTGTCTTATTAACCCCAAAACAGCCAAAGCTTTCAGGTAGAACTTTGTAATTCCAAGGTAACGAGTTGTCGGCCGATCTGACCTCGGCCACGCTATGTGACGGCGCTTGGCTTAATCAACAGACGCTCACCTGCGATAGCATGATTAAATGTACACATAAAATAGCATAGCGTCGGCAACCTGTTTAATTGCACTAAACTCAGAAAGCAAAATTTGAACTTAACAAATGAGAGAAAAAACCCTTCTGAATCTTTTGACACTTGTAGCAATTTCTTCTAAAAATTGTAACAATTTAACATTTTTTAACCTATCACTTTTTCTTATTTTTGTCCCCCTTTGAAAATTGAATTTCGACGAAATATTTTAAGAGCATATTATCATAGAACGATACCACAGTGCGTGGGAAAAAAAAAAGGCAGAGAGAGAGAGAGAGAGAGAGAGAGAGAGAGAGAGAGACAGAGAGAGAGACAGAGAGAGAGAGAGAGAGAAAGGAACTGTCAGTGGTGGTCTCCAATCGAACATTTCAACACATGTACCTCCTATCTAGTAGTAAGGGGGTTCAGTGTAATGAAAAGGTTTCTGACGAAGCAGAGGAACAAACTAAGGATCACAGAACGTGGCGATTTGCGTCTGTTACTGACCATTCTGAAACCTGATGTTAATAAGTTGGTTTCGTCTCACCATGACGCCCATCCTTCCCAGTAAGACAATGTCAATAGCATATTTATTTGTAAATACTTACTCCGTAGTTTAACCTTTACTTGATACGTCAATGTGTATTTTATGTTGGTCTTTAAAAACAAATTCTCTAATTATTTTTCGTTTTTTTTAAAACCAGAGAAATACTCACTTGTTTAATAGAGTTTGTTATGTTCATGTGCTGCCACTGTTGATGAAACTAATGTTAAAGATGATGATGATGATGATGATGATGATGTTGATGATGATGATGATGATGATGATGATGATGATGATGATGATGATGATGATTACAGAGTAAGATCCAAGCGTACTTGTTTTTTTATCCCGTGTCCTGATTTTGGTGCCCGTATTCGTTGGTTACGTAAAAAGAATGTAATGGTGCAAATTGTTATGTTTTCTAGAGAAACGAAACAAGGGGAAAGAGGAATTGGTAAGTCGGTAATGATGATGATGATGATAATGATGATGACAATGATGGTGCGATGGTGACGGTAATGGTAATTGTGATGGTGAGCATGTGGATGATTACTTATGTTGGCGATGATGATATTCTGATGTAGGAAATGACGTGCATATTAGTCTTAGTGTTAAGTTTGTTTGGTGCTTACTCTAGATCCCCGCCAGGCTGTCCTGGGGGGCAAGACACAACCTTCATTCCCAACTCCTCGCATAGAGTGACCAAACATTTGGAAATAATTCGTCATCTTCTTCCCTAGCATTTAATAATAGTATGCCGAAAAATCACCTGGGGCCGCTTCTAAGTGATGACACTGTTAGTGTGTTTGTTACCCTAGGTCTATGCTATCATATTTTCAAAACAGTGAAAGGAATGTGGCCAATAATCTTTGTAAAAATTATTTTTCATAGTCAATGCAGACTAACTTGTGTGCTTACAAGTCATTGCTATCGTCGTTCGCAACCGGTCCCAAGGCAATTTTGTAATCGTCGGAGCATGTAAAAAGCCTGAAAAACCATGCCCAGACGACCAGAGAATTACAGGACTGCCTCTTCCTAAAGAGTTACCATGCACACTTTTACTTTCTTATGGTTTCTCACATTTGATCAACTTAATATATTTTTGTTCTGTAATGGAGATATTTGATATATAAATCTTAGGATATATAAATCATAAATCATGCACGCATAAATTAAGATGCTATAAAGAATGGTGATTTGTGAGCCAACTAATGTTTTTATTCAGAACCAAATCATTAGAATTTAGGCAAGCTGTTTTATACCCTGCTGCTTGGGCTCTCTCTTTATTTGTAATTGTTAATATGCATGTCGCTATGTCAGATTGAGGGATGGGGTGGAGTAGGGAGCACTGGGACTCGGCTGGATGAAAAAGGGGGCGGTGGGCGAAAAAAAGTTTGAAACCTACTGAGAGAGATAGATAGATAGATAGATAGATAGATAGATAGATAGATAGATAGATAGATAGA